AGACATACACTAGGCTATATCAGCCCCACCAAAAATATTTTTCACCAGCCGCCACTGCCACTTAGCTACTATTTACAGAGTGAAATGCAACCGTAAAGCAAATGTCTCAAAGCGACATACTCAATGATGTTACACCGAGAGGCGGGACATGGGAGCAGTGCGAGAGAGGAAAAAACCACAGACTCAAAATGCTCTGAAGACAGATAACTGCACCCAACATCTGTTACCTTTGGCTAAAGAAAATGAGCGGAAGGGGGGGGGGGGAAGGAAATTATTAGTGGGGACATGTCCACACCAGTCCTTCAGAAAGTTATGCCTGTGCAACATACACGTCAAAAGGTGCAGAAGTCTTATTGAACACTTCCTGATCATTACAGAAAACACCTGATTCCAGTGGTTGCCTCAAAGTGTTGCTCAACAAAACTTTAGTTCAGGAGCTCCATCAGGCTTTTTTGACTTGTTTTACTTATTAATGCACACACTAAGTATATATGTACTTTCTTTCTAATCAATGTAGTGATTTCCATTTCTTTTTAATTTGTCATTACTTTTGTCAATTTCAATATATCTGTCTTTAATGGTACGTAAGCTGTCAAGCACAACTGTTGGAGACGAAGAAATAATGAAAAAGGTAAATGAGAGGATGGTATAGCAGAAGAACAGATGTAACTTACTCAGGGCTCAGAGGGCCACACTTGTCCCATGGTTCATTCTTATTGCTGTCAGAGGGAACATAAGCAATATCCTGGATATCTTCTTCAGTGCAGCAGCTGTCTGCAGCAGAGAGAACAAAAAAAAAAAAGAAACATAACAGTTACTATCTCACCTGCCTGCTCACACATACATTTAACATCATAGAGCGTGCACACTCACTGTCGGCGTACAGCCCACACTCAGATAGGTTTGGCTCTGGACCGGGCGTGGCCTTGTGCTTGCCGTCTTGGAGACAGACGCCCTCTGAGCGGACCCCGCTGATGGCTGCCAGGTATATGCATAGCAATAGCAGAGGGGGAGATGTGATGGCCATCTCAGCTGATATATGCAGCAATGGAAAGGAGTTCAGCACAATGAAGAGCGGCAGACGATGCACCCTGACATCAAAACACAGTGTAAATAACAGAACTACTGCCTGATGAAACATAACACTGATACCGTATTTAGTTAGGGTGAGTTGATTTCTGAAGTGTGGAAGCAAGCCTCTGCCATCTTCAATGCTTGTTTTTTAGATAAGTGATTAGGGCAGTTGCCCAGGGTGCGCGCCAAAAATGGGAATTAAAGCCATTCTTTTAGAAAAACATTTCTATATTCAAACCAAGCTTAGGTTTTATTTTGTATATCTTTGAAATTACAAAACCTTGGCTTTGAAAGACTTTACTGTAATTTAACTGCACATTAACAATGACGATAAGACGAGGGTGTGTGTGTGTGTGTCTGTGTGTCTGTGTGTGTGTGTGTGTATATATATATATATATATATATATATATATATATATATATATATATATATATATATATATATATATATATATATAAAGTATGTGTAATAAAGACTGAACTGGACAAAAATATTACATTTGACAAGAATAAGACAATAGTAAAGTATAAATAGTGAAAGTATCTGTAGCAGCAGTGAATGTGATGGTGAATGTTAATGTTCATGTTAATGACACTGAAAAGAATTGTTAAACTTCTTTTTTACACTTTAGATTCTTTTATAAACTTTAGTCGCAAATAGAAAACATCTAGATTTCTTAAATCCTAAGCCCTAAGATCTATTTTTAAAAACCTACGTTCAAACTTTATAAAGCATTTTTGAACTTGTACAATGTCTAAAAGAAGAAAAAATTAAAATAGGCCACATAAATACCACCATAGCTAGGAATTTAGCACAGGTTTTTCCACAATCGGGCCTCAACAGACTGTGCCCTCCTACCTGCATGTCACTGAATGTTACTATCAGCTAACAGAACGTTCTTTGACGGTGATGAATATTTGATAGTCATTTGTTTTGGAAAATATTAAATGGGGTTAAATTCCCAAAGAACAAAATTTCAGCTAAAAAAACTAACAGATGACTAACAGATGAAAAACTAATAAAAAATGTCTTACTCTTGTTGAAAAAAAGTAAATAAACACAATAAATTGCATCTAGAATTGTAGCCAATCTCGTGTCAACTCAACAAGCATTCCTTAGTTTTGCTTAAGGTTTTTTGCATTATCAGATATAGCTAAAGAAGGGTAGAGTCAGAAGCATAACTCATGTATTTGTACCTGTCCTAAACATCAAATTAAACCACCTATCATTGTTTTTTGGGCGAATTTGATGATCGGTCAGTGGAAAACTTTTAGAGTAATCCAAATTATTGTTATTGTTATAAATTGCGTTTTACTTTTTTGCGTGGCATTTGTGCTGTGGGCAGTGGTTATAAGAATGAGGTAATTACTTTTGTAGAGGAGTTTCAAGTTTTTAATCTGGACATGCAGTGTGTGTGAGTCTCAGAGTTAGTTAGCATCTAATATTATTGTTACTAAATAGGGCATTTGAGAAACTTTTTTTAAAAACATTATTGTAACAATATTTTAAAGATTTCTGAAATCCATATTTTAAATTCCTGGAAACACTGACGCGTAAGACAAGCAACACTGACTGCAATGGAGTTTCACTGACATGAGAAATAAAGACTTCGGCAACACTTGGTTCTGCTGGAGGTTTCTTCCTGCTAAAAGGGAGTTTTCCTCTCTACTGTCACTACAATCATTCTCACTGTGAGGGATTGCCTTTGAGTC